TAACTGATCGTCATCTTTAAAACATGCATCACATACAAATTTTGATTTGTTATAATAAAGTAAATACAAATACAAATAAATAGTATTTACCGAGTAGTTCTTGAACTCCTTCAATTTAACCGAAGTGGATTGTGGGAATCGGTTCCCGGTTTGTAACGTCAACGGATTGAGGTTACTCGCTTGAGGAATCCAAGTGTCTTCCCTCTAATCGTATCCACCCTATGAAGCCCGGTTCCGACTACCTTCCTTCGCTAGTAGGAATGTCTCGGTTTTCTCGTATAGGAATATATATATATATTGATATAATTTGGGAATTTCCAAGAACACTTTCTTGAAATATATGAAGAACACTTTCTTCTCTCTTTGAATTTCTCACAAAATCACTTAGCATAATTTGCAAACATTTTGCATCTATTTATACTAAACATTTTAGCATAAAATAATCAATATTTAGTAATATTAAATAAAATCTGATTTTATTTAAAAATCATATTACTAACTATTGACTTTATATATAATAAACAATGTTAAGTAGTTCAAACAACCATCTAACCACCATTTATTATATTCATTTTATTATTTTAATCCTTAAATCATATTTAAAGATAAAAATAATAATATAATAATAAATCTTGAGAATCTATTTCAAGACTTTATAATTATATTCATTTCCCAATTTTCATCCATATTATAATAATCATATTATTATTATTTTGGATTTGAAATTTAAAATCCTATTTTAAAATTCAACTTTATTAATTTAGTAATTACTTTAATTACTAAAGTAATATCCAAAATGTAATTAATCAATCTTATTGATTAATATATTCCTTTAATTGACATCTAATCAAATTAGATATTTATCAATTAATTCTAACCATTAGAAATACAATCTTTACCTTTGTTCATAATTAGTGTGACCTTTTAGGTTCACTATTAATACTAGTAGTGGGTTTACAACACTTTGTAATTTGAGTTAAATCTTATTAACTCTTATTCAAGAATTAACCCCTTAATTCATGAACCCACATATCATGGTAACACCTAGCAAGTATCATGAATCTATTATTAAGTGAATAGCGAGTAAACCTATTCCGATTACAACTCCATACATGTAAAATCCTTTCGACATCTAATTTCCCGATTAAGTCTTGGGTATGATTTTGTCGAAACCCAAATTGACTTAATAACTATGATTCTATTTCATGTTTATTAACTCGGTTATGAATCACTATTCATCTCTGCCTTGGCCAAGGACTTTGGATTAATAACTATGAAACACATAGGAAATTCACTTATCTTCATAAGTGTCGAATCCTTTATTGGCCACTAACAAACTTCCATACATATTAACATAATACCCAACTTATCCCTTTAAACGATAGTGCTAGCTACCAAAAGGATAAATCAAAGTAGAATGTAATATGCACAAAGTTACCATTGTGCCTCAAGTCTTAGGATTAGTCATGTACTATTGTAACATGAAAATTCTTATTCGACTGAATAAATTCTTCATTAAGAATTTTCATACGGTCATGTTCAGTGAACTTGTTCTCTAACAAGCACCCACATAAATGTACTTACGTCTTACGCTAATGTTGAGGAATGCAACATTCTTGTCCAACAAGCATACAAACTATGTGCAAGTCTTTTATGGATTATTCGATATCCCATTTCGAAACATCCATCGACTTGGAACTGTATTTAAGATCACGGCTTTCAAGGTATGTTCCATGATCACCATCTCTATGCGCAACCATACCTTATAACCATAAGTGATCTAGGGATTTTATCTTAAGTGCAATTATAAGATAAATGCTTTCTCTTAAGATAAAGAAATGTTTTATTCATAATATAATTCCAATAGACTGTATTTACAAGTAGAATACGTCCAATTAGATTGGAACGCCGGGTACCCTACTCTAACACTACGTGCTAGTCTATGATTAAGCATGATTGTTAGTTTAAAATGTATAAAAGCAAGTAAATAATAGATTTTTTTAATTATGGAATTGTCGAGTAATAAATTTTTATTTTCTAAAATTGTGTGGGCGAGATTGAGAATGGAAAAATTGAAATGAGATAATTTCTGTAAACAATAAAAACAAAATCGTATCAACAATTTTATTTTATTTTATTTTTTCTAATGGAGGCATGCATGTGCCCTTTCTAACGTCTTACCCATTTGTCACATGGTTTGTTATCAAATCTTTGGCTCGTAATTAATGGAGAACTTGTTTGGCATCTTGTTTAGTGTAACAAAACATATGATCACATGACAATTTTTTTTTCTTCATTTATTTTATGTATCCAAATTACATTGGTACATTGATTAATTAGGTATGTTTAGTTATGACTATTTTGAAGCGGACACTGGCCCCCCTAAAAAAAATGAGGGTTTGTGATTCTATAATTAACTCAAAACATATAAATGTAAGAGTAATTGTTTGTTTGTGATTAGATGATCCAAAATTATGTCCACACTGGTAAAATCAAATTAATCATCTTTTTTGCACCGGTGTAGAGGCTCAAACTCGATTTTTATTCAATAAACTACCCTCGAACTTGACACGAAAACAATATGGATGTATCAGTATGTGTTTGTTTGTGATCAAATGACTCAAACTTCTATCCATACCAGAAACATTGAATCAACCCTCGTCCCCGAGGGATGTTATTACACATTTTGTGTGTGTTATCGAGTGTAATTTCGTGATAGATTATGATAGTTTAAGGAATAGAAATCGAGGTTTGAGCTATCAAATTAAAACAAATTCATATGGATGTATGGGTGCGTGTTTGTTTGGGATCAGATGACTCAAACCTATATCCATATAGATAACATTGAATCAATCATATTTCTTGCACCACTCGAGGATGTTATTTCCTATTTTTGCGTGTGAAGTAGTTTAATTTCGCGATTGGTTTTAAAGCAGTTTAGGAAATAGATTTAAAGGTTTGAGCCATTAAATTAACACAAACTCATATGATTATATAGATTTCAAGTTTTGAACCATCAAATTAATCATTTTTCTTGCACCACTCGTGGGCTGTTGTTTTCCATTTTTTCGTGTGCAATCTCGTGATAAGTTCGAGGATAATTTAAACAACATGGCACCTATACTTTTTTGGTACAAGCAACGAGATTATCCATCCATATATCAATTGTTCTAGCTAGTTGCAATTTTTCTTTTCTTTGAACTTTTCTTATTTTCATTTCTTGCACTAATGACAAAATACAACTAAGTGAAAGTATGAGGTGTTACGGGCAGTACGGATGTACTTGTTAAAGGTTGAGGAGACAACGGTCATGTGAAGCAATTTATTTATAGTGTGGCCTCTCATTTATTCTGCCCGAAAACCTGCCCACACGCCTCACTTGTTGCCCCCCCTCTATTATTGAGTCATTCTGTTATTGAAAGTTGATCCTACTAAATTTTAAGGTTTTGATTTTCTTAAATAGATTGAGTTAGTAGTAGGTTTTAGTAAATCTTATTTAAATGTTCTTAAAATTGGTTTCGGCGTGAAACTTCCGCAGGCATCGGGATTTTTGTTTGGCCGACATTTCTAATTATTCCAACTAATACAGTGCCTAAACTGTTCTAAGTGACTGTAAATATTAGTTACGTCTAAACTGGTTAGGCGGTAGTTGAACGGTAAATTTTTGTCATGCTTATATATATATATATATATTTGTTTTTCATTTTTCATATACTATCCGAATTTTGGTTTTTCACTCAAAGAAGAGTGAAATCATATTAGGTTTGTGGATACTATTCATGATGATAAGATAATTAGGCTTATCTCAAAATACATCTACATTTTTAGAATTAGATCTGATTTATCTCAAAGTGTAACAATTGTTTAGGAACAAGTCCCATTGAATATGGTACATATATACTACATACTGTGTTTGCAACTGTATTAATGACTACAATATATAGAGGGAAAATGTTGGAAATTAACCGCCAACATGAGAAGTTAACATTTTCTTTTACTACATGATTGAATATCTTATTACTTTTAAATTTATGTCCGAAAGTAAATACTAATCAATAAAATATTTAAAATTTTAATGTTTTGATAGTGTTTTTTCATTTTTCTTTCTTCTTTTTTAAATTTCATATTTGAAAACAGTAGTCTTTTGGCATATTTTTAAAGCTTGAGCGTTTTTCTGTTCCCAAGCTGGAGAGTTGTGAATTTTTTTTTGCTTAATTGATGTCTTAAAAGAGCCTTGTAAAAACTGATGTCTTTCCCAAGCTGAAACATGAACACTAGAAACAAATAATTATCCTAAATAAATAAAAAAATAATAATAAGAACCCTGGAATTATTAAGAGACTTGTATAACTAGACAGCAAGGAATTGAGATATCTAGACATTATGAAAATGAGGCTTTTTATTATTTACCACATTTTTCTAACTTTAACATAGGTGTATTAATTTGTGATTATAAATACTTTTTTAGATTTTTTTTTGTGTATTTTACTTGAACATTTTAACAAGTTAAAGAGTTTTTTCTATTCTTTAAAACACCAACAAGTCTTTAATTTGGCGGTAGAATTTCTTATAGTCTTTAAAATACCAAAAAAGTCTTAAAAGTCTAAGAAAATCAAACGATAAATAAAATGGAATTCATATGACTTTAAAAAAAATATAATATCAAATTAATATCTCGAAACTTTTAAAAGTTTTAAGATGTCAAATTAAATACATTGAAACTTTTAAGTCCAAATGAATAAAAATTAAAAATCTTGAATGAATACTGTGATTTTCAAGAATTTCATTACTTAAAAAAAAAACCAATTTAAAAAAGTTTAAAAATCAGTAAAAAAATTTCAAATAAATACACTCATTTATTTTTTATTGATTAATTCATATTTCCTCCCTAACTTACACATGATTCATCAATATATTTTCACTGTATACCAATACATACATATATTTAAGGTATAATAAAAAAACTAAACTTTTAATGTTTTTCTATTCAAAAATAAATTTCCTTTTTTTTTTTCAGTAAAAATTGTGAAACCTTGCTTATATCAGCTTTCCAGCTCTTTGAGCAAATCAGCTTCATCAAATTGTCAAAATCTTCTTCTTTTGGATTACATTAATATAAAATTTATGGGAATTGTAAAGGGTTTTGGATAGCGGTTGCCACTCTTTCGGTTCCACTCTTTGTAGATTTGGTGTTGGTGGTAGGCCTCACCTTCTCTTGTCTTTAAATAAAAATCCTAACTTCTCATCAGCTACCATAGATTAAAAAAATAAAATCCAATCTTTCTACATGGGCTGTTCTCGGTTCTTCTGATATGCACAGGTTCTTGCCGGTGATGGTTTTTGAATAAGCTCCATTTCAAGAACTCGTTTTTTTAAGCAGTGGAAAGAGTACTTTTGTAGATTTTTTCAAGGATGGGAGAAGAAAAGCCTGAAGTTCTTGATGCTGTGTTGAAGGAAACTGTTGATTTGGTAAAGGATTTGAGAATTTTAGAATGACCATTTTTTGGGGAGTTCAGTTGTTTGTTTATTTGTGGGAGCTTCAAATTGCAGTTTTTTTGTTTGTTGGGGGCATTAGCCGTTTGTTGATGTCTGTGCTGGCTTTCTGTGTGTGTTGGTGTGCGCGGAGCAGAGAATATCCTCTTTAATGGGGAGTTTATCAGAATGATAATGTATATTTTTGGCTTTCGTGTGTTTGCTAATCATTTCCCTTTGTTTTTGCTATTTGTCTCTTATTGGGTTGCAGGAGAATATCCCCATTGATGAAGTGTTTGAGAATCTGAGATGCACAAGGGAGGGTCTTTCAACTGCAGCTGCTCAAGAGAGATTAACCATTTTTGGGCACAACAAGCTCGAGGAGAAAAAAGTACAGTTTTTTCAGACAATATATTGTTTTAATCTTCATTATATTGGTTGTTTTTGAGTTAGATGCTCTTATTTTTGTACATTTTATATGTAAAGATTGCGCTTTGTGGCCGCATACAGCTCTAAACGAGTTGGGACCTCTGATTTATGTTTATTTTCTCTGTAAAGATTGTACATTTTTACAGAATTTATGTTTATTTTCTCTGTAAAGATTGTACATTTTTTACACTCTGTCTATTTGCTGGTGTCCTGTGCAGAGAAGTTTTTAGTATTTATATATTTAAAGTTTTCACTTTTCAATATCTTGGTATCTTAGGAGAGCAAATTCTTGAAGTTCTTGGGGTTTATGTGGAACCCTCTTTCATGGGTTATGGAAGCTGCTGCTATTATGGCGATTGCCCTTGCAAACGGAGGAGTAAGTGCACAATTCAATAAAATAAATTTAAATTTGGTTCTGAGAGTTCATTATCCAGATTTTTTTCTTTTAAACAAAAGAACAGTTCTTGATTTAAATATTGTGCAGGGAAAGCCTCCAGATTGGCAAGACTTTGTGGGCATTATCACCTTGCTTTTTATAAACTCGACGATTAGTTTTATCGAAGAGAATAATGCCGGCAATGCAGCGGCTGCTCTCATGGCCCGTCTAGCCCCAAAAGCCAAGGTTTGAGTCATCTCATAGAAAAATAAAAAACTTTATAGTATTCTGAGGTTTAATCAAATTGCAAGAGAAACCCGGTTTTCTTTCAAAATTATACAAAACCTACTGGCATCTACTTTGTCCTACTTGCGAGTGATAATCAAGGCCCTAGAAGGATTAATTTAAAGACATTTTTTTTTTTAACTAAACAAATTTTTAGGGATATTGTTTGTTATAAACCCTTTATCTTCTGTAAGGAACTATTGAATAACATGAAGTGTTTGTAATGATTTATGGTCTTGTTAATATAAAGGTTCTTAGAGATGGAAGGTGGAGTGAAGAAGAGGCTTCTATTTTGGTGCCTGGGGACATAATTAGCATTAAGCTTGGCGATATACTTCCTGCCGATGCTCGTCTTCTCGAAGGTGACCCACTGAAAATCGATCAGGTTTGTCCGAGTTTTTAGTTTATTTAGCAAGTCTTCGCAAAAAAATCTTCTTTTTCAAGAAGCATTTATAGTGGCAGGAGCTTTAGAGTAGTTCATGAATAAAATTGCATGATTGCTTATTGCTTTCATCAGTCGAACTATAAGCAGAATTTGCTGCATTCTTGCTTATTTTTCGTTCATTTTTCATGATCCCTAGCACTTGTAATGTTTGCAAAAATTTCTGTTTTTACAAGAAGCATTTACAGTGGCAGGAGCTTTAGAGTAGTTGAGTAATTAAAAGAGAGTGCTTCATGAATAAAGTTGCATGATTGCAAATTGTTTTCGATAGTTAACAATTTTCGACAGAATTTTCTGCATTCTTTCTTATTCTTCGTTTACTCTTTCATGATCCCTAGCACTTTTGCATGAGGTGCAAGTTTATTTAGCAAGTCCTTGTAAAGAAAATTTCTTTTACAAGAAGCAGTTATAGTGGCAGCAGCTTTAGGGTAGTTGTGTAATTATAAGAGAGTGCTTCATGAATAAAGTTGCTTGCATGATTGCTCATTGTTTTCAACAGTCAAACTATAAAGCAGAATTTGCTGCATTCTTGCTTATTTTTCGTTTATTTTTCATTTTTTTTTTCTTTTTTTGCAGTCTGCTTTGACGGGCGAGTCTCTTCCTGTAACAAAAGGACCGGGAGATGGTGTCTATTCGGGCTCGACATGCAAACAAGGCGAAATCGAGGCTGTAGTTATTGCCACAGGAGTCCACACATTCTTCGGCAAGGCTGCTCATCTTGTCGATTCTACTAATCAAGTTGGGCATTTCCAAAAGGTGGGTTCTTTAACATACATACAATACATTTGTTTACTTAACTCTTTAATATCAATCAATTTTTGTAAAAGCTTTTTTTTTTGTATCTTTACTTTTTTGTAACTGATTAGGTTTTGACTGCGATTGGAAACTTCTGCATATGCTCGATTGCGGTGGGTATGGTGATAGAGATAATCGTGATGTATCCTATTCAACATAGGGAATATCGGCCAGGGATCGATAATCTTCTTGTTCTTCTCATTGGTGGAATTCCGATTGCTATGCCTACTGTGCTTTCGGTTACAATGGCCATTGGCTCTCATCGTTTGGCCCAACAGGTCATTTTTTTGGTGAACTGTTATTTTTTATTATTATTTTTTTTTTTGTGGGAATTTTTCAGTGTTCATGAGAGGGTTTTACTATCTTGCAGGGTGCTATTACGAAGAGAATGACGGCTATAGAAGAAATGGCAGGCATGGATGTGCTTTGTAGTGATAAGACGGGGACTTTGACATTGAACAAACTCACTGTTGATAAGAATCTCATTGAGGTTTAGAGCAAAGGCCTTTTTTTTTTTCTTTTAATTTTCTTCCTCTGGTTATTACTGTTGATGGCAAGCTCATTGCATTTTTTGGAAAAAAATTTCTTTTCATGCCTAACTTTGAAAATATTGCACTTAAACCCCTTAAGAGCTTATTTGGACTATCATGAATTTGGTCCATGCAAGAAAGACACTAGTTTTGGGAGGGCAAAGTGGAATAATCCACTTAATACTTCCACAATAAATATTAATCAATATCATTGTAATCACAATAGAAATTACAAAATTTCCCAGTAAAAGTATCAATTTTTTTTGTTATTAGACGTATTTTTCATTTTAGCTAAGATATCACTTGCCCTTAACTAAAATCAATTGTAACTTATGTACAAAGCTTTCATCAACTGTTCGCAGGTTTTCGCAAAAGATGTTGATGCAGATACTGTAGTTCTGATGGCAGCTCGAGCCTCCCGAACAGAAAACCAAGATGCAATAGACGGTGCTATAGTTGGAATGCTGGCTGATCCAAAGGAGGTAAATAATAAATTAATAAATTAATAATTGTGTCGATATATAATAAATGTAATTATTTCAGCACATTGTGTTTTCTTGACTTGATTAAATTTAATATCATGAACAGGCACGTGCTGGAATTCGTGAAGTACACTTTCTTCCCTTTAACCCGACCGACAAACGAACGGCTTTGACTTACATTGATGGTGAAGGGAAAATGCACAGAGTTAGTAAAGGCGCACCAGAACAGGTCATTATTTTCGTTTTCCTTTTTTTTTTTTTTTTTTTTTTTTTTTTTTAACTTGGCGCATAATAAATCGGACATAGAGCGTCGGGTTCATGCTGTGATCGATAAGTTTGCCGAACGAGGTTTGAGATCACTCGCCGTGGCATATCAGGTATTTTTTTTTTTGATTAACATTATTGCATTAGATAAAAAGTATACTTTATCTTATGGTATTTTGCTTAACATTTATTGGGTTCAATTTTGTTATAGGAAGTTCCGGAAGGAACAAAAGATAGTCCCGGAGGCCCGTGGCAATTCATTGGTCTCATGCCTTTATTCGATCCACCGAGGCATGACAGTGCTGAAACTATAAGGAGAGCACTAAATCTTGGAGTAAATGTGAAAATGATAACCGGTAGAATTTTCGTTTTAACAGTGCCCATAAAAACACTGATATTTGTGTTGTTAACTTGTTTTTGTTTTCTTTTTAAAAGGGGACCAGCTGGCAATAGGAAAGGAAACTGGCCGGAGGTTAGGGATGGGGACAAATATGTACCCTTCTTCAGCTTTGCTTGGTCAGAATAAGGATGAATCGATTGCTGCTCTACCGATTGACGAGCTTATCGAGAAAGCCGATGGNACATATGTGGAATGACGGGTGACGGTGTGAATGATGCCCCGGCTTTAAAGAAGGCCGATATTGGAATTGCCGTTGCTGATGCCACTGATGCCGCTCGTAGTGCTTCGGATATCGTCCTTACAGAACCTGGCTTGAGCGTTATTATAAGCGCCGTTTTAACTAGTCGAGCCATATTCCAACGCATGAAGAATTACACGGTACAATTTTGGTTTTTTTTTTTTTTGTTGGTTGAGTGTGTTTGGTAAGCACCATAAGCGAAGTTAACTTATAGCTTACTTGGTTAGCTTATAAGCTTTATGTATACAAATAAGCCTAAGCTTTGTTTGGTAGGATGAACTTTTTAAAAAAGATTGAGCTTATCTCATAAGCTTCTTTGGCTAGTTTTTTATATAAGGCTGTTGAAATTTTTATTTCAAGTAATTTTATCATACACTTTTATCATATCCGCTAGCTTTTCAGCCATAAGCCGCCATAAGCTCGAAATTCACTTATAAGATATCAATTAACTTGATAGCTAGCTTATCAGCTATTACTGATTTAGTTTTCCACCTGATATTTTTTGACAGATTTACGCTGTTTCTATTACAATTCGTATCGTGGTGAGCATTTCTTCTTGGTGGTATTTGGATTTTCGTCAAGTGATGAATTTCTCTTGAGGTTTGCATTGTGTGCAATGTGGGGTTTTTTTTTATGTCTTTCGACTTTCTTTTTTGTGTGCCAGCTCGGTTTCATGTTGTTGGCTCTAATATGGGAGTTTGACTTTCCGCCTTTTATGGTGCTGATCATTGCTATACTGAATGATGGTTAGCTCTCTTATCACTCTCTATCATTTCAGAGCAAAAACATTAAACAAGTTAACGTCATTCAGAAACTAGATATCACAAATTCACTGTCTTAAATTCTCTAATATCAGTCACTATTTTGAGATAATTAAACTTGCTCAACATTTGTTTTAAGTCTTTTATCGAGATTAACATTTTGGACTCTTTATGATAAAGGCACCATCATGACTATATCGAAAGATCGAGTGAAGCCTTCTCCTCTGCCGGATAGTTGGAAGCTTGCCGAGATTTTCGCGACCGGAATTATTTTGGGCGGTTATTTGGCGATGATGACAGTCATATTCTTTTGGGCCGCATACAAAACCGATTTTTTTCCCGTGAGCAAGTTTTCTCCTCAATTAAATTCAACTTGGATAACATCTTCTTTCTTGTGTTGTGTGTGCAAGTTTTTTGCACTTCTTTCAAGCAAAATTGCATTTTAGTCCTGTTGATTAAATGCCATAACAATTTCAGTCTCATGGTTCCAACAAACATTTCCCAGATTTTCAATCAGTAACTTAAGTCCTATAATTTAAAATTTAAAATATTGTTGCAATTCCAATCCTCGAATGGACTGAAATTGCAACAAAATATTAAATAAGAGGACCAAAAGGCTTGGAATCTTGGGATTAAAATTACTATGACGTTAAAACAACAGGACTAAAAATGCATTTTTTTCCTTCTTTCGAGATTACTTGATTGCATTAACTTGTTTAATGTTTCTCTGAAATTTGCCAGAAAGTGTTTGGGGTATCGACACTCGAGAAAACCGCACACGACGACTTTAGAAAGCTTGCCTCGGCTATATATCTTCAAGTGAGCACTATAAGTCAGGCTCTTATATTCGTCACGAGATCCCGAAGCTGGTCCTATGTCGAGCGTCCCGGTTTGTTGCTTGTGGCCGCATTTTTGATTGCCCAGCTGGTTATTATTACCTCTTTCGACCTTATAATTTATCCAAACTTTTATTAAAATGACAAAATTACCTTTAATGTCACGACCTTTTTCAAAATTACAATTTAATCACGACCTTTTTACTTTTGCAAATTATATCACAATCTTCAGTTTGTTCTTCGGCCATATCGTGGCTGGTTTTCAGAACCCGTGCACGATTTGCAACAAACTGAATATTGTGATATTATTTCCAAAAGTGAAAAGGTCGTGATTAAATTGCAATTTCAAAAAAGGTCGTGATATTAGGGGCAATTTTGTCTTTTTAAAATCGAATCTTGATTGTCACGTGCTTCATTCCGTGCAGGTTGCTACTTTGATTGCGGTGTATGCAAATTGGAGCTTTGCAGCCATTGAAGGAATCGGTTGGGGTTGGGCCGGTGTGATTTGGCTTTACAATATCATTTTCTATATCCCACTCGATATTATCAAGTTCTTAACCCGTTATGCTCTTAGTGGGAGGGCATGGGATCTTGTACTCGAGCAAAGGGTAAATTTCGAAGTCCTATTCGAGTTTTAACTGTGAAAATGCCATTAAATTTTGTCCTGAAAAACGACAAGTTTGCTAATGGAATTGTTTATTCATTGTTTGTGTAGATTGCTTTCACAAGAAAGAAAGATTTCGGAAAAGAGCAACGTGAGCTTCAATGGGCACATGCGCAAAGGACTTTACATGGATTGCAAGTACCCGATACCAAATTATTTAACGAGACTACGAATTTCTCGGAACTTAATCAGCTAGCCGAGGAAGCAAAAAGAAGAGCTGAAGTTGCTAGGTAAGCATATGATATTGTTTTTTTTTTGTTTAAAAAAAAAAAAATAGGCATAAATGTATTTTTAGTCTCATTGGTTTAACACCATAGCAATTTTAGTCCCAAGTTTCAACTTTTCGCCGATTTAATATTTTGCTGCAATAAGGACTGAAATTGCAAAAAGTTTTTAAATTAGGACCGAATTTCCAACAAATTTTAAATTATAGGACTTAAATTGCTAATTAAAAAATTTATAAATTTGGGAATTTGTTGCAATTTCAGTCCTCAAATGGCTGAAGTTACAACAAAATATTAATTCACAGGACCAAAAGACCAAATATTAAAATCTTGGAACTAAAATTGCCATGGCGTGAAACCAGCAGGACTAAAAATGCATTTTAACTTTTTTTTTTTTTATTTGTAGAATTTTATTACACGGAAGTTACATTCACTCCATGAATGAACTTTCGAACACAGGTTGCTTTTGATGTCAAAAGCTTTACTACGGGTCGAGTCTAATTACAGAAAAATGTACTTGTGATCCAAAATTGCAATCACCTTCTTGATATATATATGTTGTCTATTTTTCACAAGCTGCAAAATGTTGAATAAATACAAACCAACACTCAAATTAAATGCAGGTTAAGGGAATTGCACACATTGAAAGGTCACGTGGAGTCGGTTGTGAGATTGAAGGGTCTCGATATAGAAACAATTCAGCAATCGTACACAGTTTGACCGGGATTTTATAAACTACAAAGGTACCGTTATATTATCAACTCTTGAGTTACACGAGTTTTTATCTATATTTGGCGAGCCAGCAAGTTCGTAATCGAAACTTAGTACTGTTTGGCATCTGCAGAAAGTGTATTTCCACTTCACTTCGTGACATGAAATAAGCTAAGATTTTTGGACTTGGGTTCGACATTTTCATTTTTCCCTGATTAATGTAAATTGGTAATTGACAATTTCAGGCTGCATGCATGCTAGTTGAGATGTTGAAAAATTTGATTTCATATAGGTAAAATGGAACAATCTACAAAAAGGTAGCTAATTAGTGTTTTGTTTATTAACTAAACTGCTTTAGTGTAAGGTAGTTAAGCATTGATCGACTTTTGTGGCACATAATTGAACTTAAGCAAATTAATATTAAAACTTTGAAATATTAGTGATTAAAAAAAAAGGTAAAAAATGAGTGAATTTTAATTGAATATACATCACGTTACAATTCCATGCTTTATAGATAAAAGATAATTTATTTACCTTATATTAAGANATAAAGAACAAAACGCAAAACAAAATAAAATTGTACAATCATAATGAGCAGCGAGCTATTTATTCAATTCGAAGTATATATATTTACACGCACATCGACCTTTTTCATTTATTTATTTATTATTTTGTTGTTGGCATTATCATCCCAAGTGAAAAGTTGGCGAGGTAAAAGAAAAAGGTGAGATCCTGATATTTTGTCTCAACTGTCAAAGTGTCAATATATATAAGAATTTCTTATCCTTGTCCCAAAAGGCAAAATAAAGTTCATAAAACTTTTCCACTCATGATTGAAAATTAAGAATCCTTTTTGTTCCATATTAAATAGCGAAAAGCATAAAGTTCACATAAATATCACATAGATACAGAATTATCTATGATATCACTATCACATTTTAAAACTGAAAAGTGAAAAGTAAGTCATATAAGAATCCATATAAAGTTATTTAATAAATTAAACTTATTAAAAAAAATAACCAAACAAAAAAAAAGAGAGAAATATGGCTATAAGTGCCGAGCTGGTCCACTATGGAGCCGAACAGGACCTAAAATGTTGAACAAATAACCCATCGTATGAAATGTTGCGTAGCCATGCCAATTATTGTTGATAAGACATTTAACTACGTGACACTTGTCATGTATTGATTGGTATCTTATTCTCCTAGAGATAAGATCTCATTGTACTATGCAGTGAATACTAATCAATAAGATAAAAAGAGGCATTTATCAATTTCTATTTTTCTTACAATTTAAGTCATATATTTTCCTTGCTTCAACCTTCGATGTGGGCAACATGAGTTTTTTATTGAAATTTCTATTGAATTTTTAATTTTGGTGATTCTAACGATAGATTTTTCAATGACTAAAATATTGATGAAAATTAAAATTCAATTATATTCCAACGAAAATTCCTACAATAATAAACAGTTTGACAAATGGTCGTTCAAATCATCAAATTGCAACTAAAATTTCAATGGAAAACAAATTCCTTCCATTAGAATATATTATCATGGGAATATTATTATTATTTATTTATTATTATTATGATTATTATTATTTTTAATTGATAGTGGCCTAACTTCATTCTGGTTTTAAAATTTGTCGCTGCTCGTTGTAGCAAAATTTGGCGTAATTTAATTTCTAGCAATATGGCACTAAATGCTGTTAGTTGGGTCCTTATCTATTTTAATAAAACTATAAAAGCCAAGAATGTAAAAACAAAGTTGGGTAATGAAATCAAAATGGTAGATTAGTGTTCCCATTTATCTAAACAGGATATTATTGGATAATTAGATAAAGAACATGCACCTTTAGTTTAGATATTATTAGATAATTAGATATAAAGAAACATGCACCAACAGCATTTAATAAGGTATGATATTATTAGTTAGATATAAAAGAAACATTTACCGAAAGCAATTAATAGGCATAGCTAAGGTACCACGTAATATACACATCAAACTAGTTACAGAAATTTAAGTTTGATAGTTACAACAATTTTTTATTGAATGTGCATTTTTTTTTTTTTTTTGAGTTATTATAACATCTTTATTCTTTAATTAGGAATTTAGATGTCAATGTGAAAAGACGTTTTAAAGTTTTTTAGAAATCCTGATATATCTAACTTTAGAGATCGTATTGATTTAAGATTCTGAACGACATTTTTAAGGTTTATTAAAATTCAAAACTTCTTAAGATGTGTTGATTTTGGTGATAACATAAGAAACCTCAAGTCTAAAGGTGGGATTTGACATTTGTAATTCGTGTTTTAAATCTCAATAAATGTTAAAGAGCCTTGACAAGTTTCACTGTTTAAGTTAAATACATAAGAAATTTCTATGACTTTTTAAAATTTGAAATGAATACCTCAAAAATTTTACAAGTTTTAAAAGTTAAGTATAACAGAATTTTTAAAATTACAAAAAGTTGAATAGACACTTTAAACCTTTTTGATATTTCATGCTTGCTAATTTTGATATACGAGGCCCAAAAGCTGAGGTCAAAATATTTTTGCAATCATGTTGACTGTAAATCATATAAGTCGGGGTTGATTTTCACATTACAAAGATGAGAACACGTTTAATTATTATTATTTTCACACTAAAATTTCTACTTGCCATTTGGCTGGAGTCTCTATGCAATAACTCGAGCCCGAACATCTAACGAGTCATTTCCAGCTCAATTAATTGAGTTCGATATCGATTCATTTATTAATAATAGCGAGTCGAGTTTAAGTCTTAATGAGTTGATCTTGAGTTTCAGTGAGTCGAATTATTGAAAATTGCATTCAAATTCCTTTTTTGAGTCTTATTGAACCAAGTCGAGCCTGACTTATTAATAAAACAAACTTTAAACGAGATCGAACTCGACTCATTTATCAAACAAGCTGAGTCAAACTCGAACCTTAACAAGCTGAACCACATGTTTCGTTTAATGGGTGGTGCCAATGTAATTTATGGCGTGTAGTGAGACACGGAATAACGTGATGATATACATCATCAAATTTAAGCCAGACAAAGTTTCAGCAATTATTGCGATATCGCAAGTTTGATAATTGAAGCTAAATGGAATACGGAAGCAAAACACTTTTTGAGTCTTTGAAGGTGTTGATTTGAAATAGAGAACTTTTTTTTTTTGAAACATATTTTATTAATTTTATGGTTGGATATACAAATTTTCTAAATTCAATACATTTCATCCACTAAAAAAATTAAATCAAATTCCAACAAATAAACAATAAAAAATAGTCTAATTTTTTTTTCTAGGATATTCCAGTATTTTTGTTGAAAATTCCAAAGAAAAAATCAATAAAAAATAATAAAATAACTCTATGATATTCCAATAATATAACTTTTGTTGAAAATTTCATATGGATATCAACACGATTTTTTTTATTAGAATTAAAGTTGAAATTCGATGATTACAACAATACTTTCTTCAATGTTTTATTGTTGTAGAAATTTCTGTTGAAATGTGCTTGAAACTATTTTTTCTCCACCAATAATTTGTAGCAGTTGGAAGAATTATCACTGGTATCAACTAAATTCAATATAAATTAGAATTGTTCTTTTTTGTTGCTGGAATTGACATTGAATTTTTTTAACAAAAGTTATAGTATTGGACTTAAATATATTGCTATTGAAATTTGATGTTTTTTTAGTAGTGATCTTCCATCAACATAATTTCCAAAATATAAAACGGATTCATATTAAATAATAATAAAAAAACTCTGTCTATTTCTACAATCAGGCATTACCAGACTACCAGTTAATATCTATAATTTTATATCACGTCAATTTTAATTATTATTTTTTTATTTTGTATACATCAATTAAAAATTTTCAACCTTTTTTATTTTTAATTTTATGTTTCAGACGATATAAGTTTTTTTAAAACTTTGTATATTCAGTCGACTCTACAGTTCATTTTCATTTGAATATAGGTTATTATTTCACTAGCTCATTTCGAGTAAAATATGAAAAGGAAAAAACATGAAAATGGCTAATTATAAATAGTCTCCACAAGTAAAAGATAGAAAGTATGTGACCCTTGTTGTTACTCACTGCTATTCACATTATGATTCATTAGTAGGTCCATTTGTTTTGTTCGAGTACACGAGTTTGAATTGAAAAAAACAAAATTGACTTTTTTTTTTCTTTTATGCTAGTCATTATTTGGCATAGTTTTGATTAATGGCATGATCACTTAATGTTTATTCAATAAAATAAAATGTTCGTGATCTCGTTTAGTTAATGAGTTGGATTTTAAACTCGAAAATGTGGAATTTTATTTTAATTAATTATATAGTTTAGTTTGTTAAGACTTAAGTCCGGTCTCTAAAATTGAAGTTGTCTCATTAATATTAATAAACGAGTCAAGATCGAGGTCTTTTATCAACAAGTTTAATTCACGAGCCAACAAACTCTAATATTAGGAGTTCGAGCTGAGATCGAGCTTTTTATCAGCAAGTTCTATGGCATATGTATTTACTTGACGCCTTATAATGATTAAATATCATTTGAGACTAAACAAAATGTTGGGATATCATGCATGGAATAGAAATTTAATGATATTAGCTCATATATTGGTCGTCTCTTTATAATTTTTATATCATTGAAAATATTGAAAATCACAACAATATTTCCCCAATCTCCATCTACTTAGCACCCCAAACATCTTTTACTCCAAAATGTATCAAAATTGTGAACTAGACCACACCCTTTTGAGCATCAATTTTCTCCATAGCCACATCCATGGCTTCACTTCTCTTGTACTTGAACCACTTGGAACAAATCAAGAAATAACCCAAATTCAAAGCCTCCAATACACCAACCAGGTAGTAGAAATAGTCCAACCTCCCCTTATTCAAATCCTCCGCCAACCAATTATCATCTTCCCCAACCCGCGTGGTGTTATGAACGACCGAAATCAGGAGACTGCCGAGATAACTGGCGACCGCGTACCCCATGAACACGAACGAGCCCCCGAAGCTCCTCATGTTCTCCGGAAACTGCTTGTAGTAAAACTCGTACTGTCCGATCATGCAGAACGCCTCTGACATCCCAGCCAGCGCTAGCTGCGGAATCAACCAGTTCCCGGACATCGACGAGATCGCCCCTTTCCTCGGCTCAAAACCGAGTGTGGGCTCGGTCAGCGCCAGCGTCCGCCTCCGGTTCTCCACGAGACCAGAGACGAACATCGTCAGGACAGCGAAAACCAACCCGATTCCCAACCTCTGGAGCAACGTGATTCCCTCGTCCTTTCCCGTGACCCGTCTCAATAGTGGGATCAAAACCCGATCGTAAATCGGGATCCATATCGTCAAAGTCAACATGGATAAAACGGTGTACGAGGCGGCCGGGATCTTGAAGCCTGTTCCCGCCATATGCCGGTCGGTTTGGAGGACTTGGAGAACCGTGTAGCTCTGCACAACTAAGACTATGAAGTAGACGATGCACGCTATCCATATGGGTATGACTCTAACGACGCACTTTATCTCCTCCACTTGTTGCATGCTTCGGAGATTCCATGGATCGGATGCCGACCCATCTGGGTTTATTTCGTCCTCCGGTGTTAGAATCGCGGCTTTGTTGAGGAGCCTAACAACACGCATACAAATCGTTTTCGACTTAGTTATGATTATGTCAATATTAACCCTAATCTCGATTCGAAAATATCTAAACAAAAAAACTTGTTCTCTTCACAAAAAACAGGGCAAAATACCTAAACTACTCGAGACGACCGACTAACTAACCTTAGTTGATCCGAGTAAGCGAGCCGGGAGTTAATCGAGTCTTCCGGGAAGTGATTAAACAGGGAGGCCTCGGGCAGCTCTGGCAGCTCAAGCCGCCTCTTCTTGACCGCAACGGTCAACGTCTGCACCACGCTCGTGAGGGGGCTTCCCTGAGGCGGAACCACCACGTAAATTCTCGTCCCGACGAAGAAAAACGCGCACGAGAGAAACATGAGGAAAGTCGGTATTCCGAGGCCGATGGCCCAACTGATGCTCGACTGCACGTACACGATGACGGTCAGCGAGACCATCATCGCGAACGTGAAGGTGAAGTAGTACCAATTGAAGAAGCTGTTGATGCCCCTCCTGCCGGAATCTGTGCCCGGGTTGAACTGGTCGGCCCCGAACGCGAGGTTGCACGGCCGGATTCCGCTGGCCCCCACCGTAAGGAAGGCGAACGAGACGTAGAGGAACGCCAGCTGGCCAGCCGTGGGCCCCGCGCACGGCGACGAAGAGGAGCCGCACTCGGTCGGGCGGAGGGCCGGGAAGACAGCTGTCATCGTCAGGACAAGCATCCCCTGCTCAAGAAGAAGAAGAAAAAAGATTAGATTTTTCGTTTTCTTTTTCTTTTGGTAAGGAAAGTTTTGTTTTAGTACCAAGAAAGAGCAAATGGAAGCGATTCCGAGTGTTTTGTATCGGCCCAGATAGGTGTCGGAGAGGAAACCGCCGATCAAAGTTCCGAAATTGCAAGTGCCATTGAAGATGTTTATTACATTAGTGGCTGTAATGGATTTCATGTTGAATACTGTGGTTAGGTACACTAACAGATTTGTTGATGTCCCAATAGTTCCAAGCTTCTCAAATGTCTCATTACCTGGAAAAATAAATCAACAAAGTGAAGAAGGAAAATAGTAATGATCTCTTAAAAAAAAAAAAAAACAGAGAGAGAGAAGAGAAAGTGGTATTACTACAAAAGTACAAATCTTACCTATAACAAAGGGCATGGCTTTGATTCCTCTGTAATTTGGTTCTTTCTTGGCTGCAGACTTAACCCCACTCTTCTTCTCCATGGTTACAACAAGGAAAAATCCTTTGTGTTTTGGTGAGTGAATGAAGTTTACTTCTTTTGGTACTTGTGCATAATTGAGATGAGAGAAGTATTTATAGAGAAAAAAAGTGTGTACCGAGCTGCTGTTAGACAATTATATTTTTCGACAAATTATAAGTTTGGTAATTTTAAAAATAATATAAATATATTTTTATTTAAAGTACGGTTGAGAGAGTCGACTGCCCCATCGTTTAAACCTCCACTTGGCCAAAAAGCAAGAGTCCGCTCATCCAAACCAACAATTTCAATAGCTCTTTGTATTTATGAGCATATAGGGGTGAGCATGGGTCGGTATGGTTCGGAGATTGATAAATATTCAGAACCGTACCGAAGTTCGGAGATCACTAAAATTCGATCTCCAAAACCGTACAAAAAATGGTTCGATCCGGTTCGGAGATTTTTATTTTTCGGTTCGGTTTTCGGGACTATCGGAACAGTTCGGTTACCTTCCCTTTTAGTTTAGATAAGACTACCTGGTTGTAGATCTGCTGCCTTAGGGAAATGGTCTAATAGCCCCGTGTCGGATAATCGGCTTCCATGATCGGAGTTTGGTTCGGTTCGGATATTCAGATATTTCTTATCATTTTTAAAAAATTTGAATGACAACCTAGTTATATTTTATTTTTTATATATTTTTTTTAATCCAACATTCATCAATACTTTATCATACTAAAGATTTTATTTTTAAATCAACTTTAGAAGTAACCCTAAATTTTAGTTAAGACTAAATTCAACTAACATTGAAAATTTAAAAATTCAAACAAAATATAATACAGTTTTATATTAAAGTAATATTTATTTAACCTTCCATACCATATCTATATATATATAATAAGAATTAACATTTTTCAAATATAGTAAGCAAAAAAATAGGGAATATTAATTGCATTCCATTTTTGGTATGTTTTTTTAATTTTTTTAATAAAAAATCAAGTAGCATTTAATGTTAGCACAAATCATGGGATTTGTTATATAGATTCATATTTGAATTTCAAACTTCAAACAAAACATGCCTAAATGTATTTTGAATTTTGAAGGAAAAAAATTTAACAAACACGTTAAAGATGTCATACAATACATATATTTATATATATTATCTTAACATACAGGTTAATTAGTTTCCTATCTAAACAATATATAAACAAATATAATAATTTATCGTACAATACAGACAAATATATAAACAATATATTTATATACAAATATAATAAACAATACAAACAAATATACAAACAATATATAAACAAATATAAGAACTTGTCACGTGTATATTTCGTACAATACATATATTTGTATATATTATCTTAACATATAAGTTAATTAGTTTCATATCTAAACCATATATATTTTAGGAACTTAAGGATTCATAACATTACTGACGTCATGTATATTTATAATATATTGTCACGTACATCTTACTACAATTGGTAACTTTTTTAAAATTATTTGAATAACTGGAGGTTGATTTGTAATTTGAATTTCAAATTCATTCAAACATTTAAAGGAAAATATCATAAGCAGATTTTTTTTAATACATTTTATTTTATCTCAACTTACATATAATCACGTTCCTACCTAACATTAAATTTTCTTATATCTTTTTAAATTAATTACATCACTAAATAATATTAATATATATTACATATTTATCATTATATAACAAATATATTACTTCTACAAGTGTTATAAATAATAATGACATTATATGCTAATAAATTTTTTGATAGATTAATAATTGAGTATTATGATGAACCAAAATATGTAAAATTATTATTATTTTGTATTAAAAAATAAATATATATGTTAAAATATTATTTATAATAATATATTGGTTCATCATGCTATTACAATAAATTTTATAATAAAATAATATGAGTATTATACGAGGAACAAGATTACGTAAAATTGTTATTTTTCTTATACCAAGGAATAAATATATATAATGAAATTAAATTTATATTATTATAAACATGTGAGCGAGATAATCTATTAATTAATTTACGGTGTAGCGCTACCACTACCAGGCTCAGGTTTAATGTCTCGACAAAAAGATGACGTTGATGAAAGAGATAAAAAAATAGATGATCAAACTCTATTACTTTTTTAGGCCTTAACTAACAAGCCCTATTGTCCACTCATTTAATATCTCCCGTGAATCACACGAGCTACTTAATAGACAAACTCTGCGGAAATGACTCATTTAATATTTATGTCCCGTGCATCGCACGGACTACGTACTAGTTAGTTATAAGATAAACTAAGCCTAAATATTGACAACTTTATGTAAAGCTTAATTATTTTTATTTTTTAAATCTTTAACCTTTCATTCTATTTTAATTTTTTTTTAAACATGAGAAATTCAATTGTAGATCATGTATTGTTACTCATAAAATGTAAGTGAATCTTAATTGTTATTACTATATTATATTTGCATTTTAAAAATTCTCAAATTATATAGGATCAAAGTTGATATAAAATATATTAATAACACGCATTTATTTTTGTAATTCGGTTCTTAATTTCGGTTCTTCGGTTCGGTACGGTACGGGACGGTTCAATTTCCAGAAACGTACCAATTATTTTTTCGGCTCGGTTCGGTTCGGTTCGGTTCGGAGAAAGTCAAACGGTCAACGGATATTTTTCGGTTCGGAGTGATTTCGGTACGGTTTTCAGACCGATCCGGAATTCTCCGAATCCCGTGCTCAGCCCTATGAGCATAGATTGAAAGTGGTAGGTATTCAAAGTTGCAACTAATCAAGGATCAAGAAAGTGGTAGGTATTCAAAGTTGCAACTAATCAAGGATCAAGAGTTTGAGAAATTAAGCTCAAATTGCCACTCTCTGAATGTGGCTCATTTGCCTATTTGTTGTCATTTTTTGGAGGGAAAATGTGGTTAGTGAAAACGGCTTGAGATTAAAATAAGTAAAGTATTATAACACAACTTTACAATCATAATTTTTTGTGTGAACCAATGTAACTATTGGGCAGGTCAATGTCATATTTTCTTAAATAAAAATATCCACTTATATTATAAGATATTATAATTTTACTTTCGTTGTTGTTNNGGGGTTAAACATTCTATTTATATTGTTACACTTAACATGAAACCTATTTTTTTTTTTCTTTTGAACTATACTACACCAATAGAATGGTTTCAAAATTGTATTACCTAATTTTAAAATGTACTTGAAATGCATCCATTGATTTTCTTACTATAATATTAACAAAATCAATAATCCCCATTTTCACAAAGCATGATTTGAGTAAACCGATCGATATACGAATCTGATAAACTAAATCAACTCGGTCGAAAATTCGCACTTCTTCTGGAAAAGTGGATCCAAGATCAAATCGATTGCCGCTTTACGAACGATCATTTATCCTTTTACCACAGTTTTAAAATTTTTGTCTCTCTAATATTTTTAATATGAAGACGCGTGGCAATACTAAACGTATCCGTCCCTAGAGATGTGTGCTCTTGAGTTGTGTCTATCTATTAATTCGTTGTTCCGACACACACTTTGTGTTGTGAGGCCACTCACATACGTGAATGTCTTAAATTGAGTCCACAATTTCCCATTATTTGATTGGAAAATTCTTTTCAATCTTCAACCATTAGATCAACATTCATCACATGTTTATATGTCTCTATATTTGAACCGACCGTTCAAAATTTTATGGAGTATGAGCTGTTAAATTGAACACGCACTTTTAAATTTGTGCTTGTGATTTGATTTTTCAAATTTTTGATACAGTCGTCTGATTAGTTAGATTACGACATCCTTGTACGTTTGTACTTAATCTGACTCCAATGCATGGGTTAGAGCTATTAGATCATGCATGAACCAAAATGCTATAGCTGCACGATATTCTTTGATATAATAGTTAGTGCACTCTCACATGTGGTTGGACCATTTTCCATTTAAATAAAGAAAAAAATGAATGTGTACTGTCTCATTTTCACCCTTAACTGCCATAATGTTATGATAAATTGGTGCATTCTTGAAAAGTGACAAACTTTTGTTAAATAAAATATATATACATGTATATCTCACACTAAATTAACCAATTAAAATTAGACATATCGATCAATATCCAAAATTCGAATAAAACCTGTACTCATATTACATATATAACAGTACCGTATGCCCCAACCGCACTATGAATGTGCAGAAATTTCAATTCAATGCCCTACCCCGCGTTTTTATTTTTATTTTTATTTTTTTACCATTTTTCAAAGACAATATTTCATGTGACGCATTTCAACAAAATTATTTTAGTTTCATATTGACCACAAGATTGATTGAATACGACACCGTATTTGTTGTTACTCCTTATCTATTTAACAAATTCAAAGTTGTCTTCCATTAACTGTTATTATCTGCATTTCTCAATCACGCCCAAATTTTTTCTCCACTGAGGCACTGATTAATAGGAAAGTAATTTTTCAGTGACGTTGATGGAGGAGACAATGACGTCACCGCTGACATATGCGTAGGTCCCACTTTCGCCTTTTGGTCCTCCTCCTACTCTACTTGTAAACTTTTATGGAAAATGTTACATGTAAAAATACATAGAAGTATATATAATGGTCCACTTAATTTTTTATTTTTGATAGGTCACACTCAATCTGAGTGTTATGTACTCCCTTATGTACAATATTATGTACATGTAGCATTTCCCAACTTTTATTGGTCTGAACTGTGAAGAAAATATACATCTATATATATATATATATATATATTAAAAAAGATTGATGGTAAAATTATTTGTGAAAATTTGAAAAACGGCCGTCAACACCATTTGACTTTCCCACTTTGGAAACCAATTAAAATATCCGAAAATCCATTAGTTTTCAGATTTTCTTTAATTTAAATCATCTAAAAATAAGTTAATTGTCATTTAATTGGATCCGGAAATTTATTACTTACCGTTAAAGCGAAAGTTTTTTAGAGTATGGAATTAACAACTTTCAATGTTTCACATATCTATTAAGAAATTTATCATTATAATAATCGAATCTTTTGTTGGAAAAAGCCAATCAAATTCAACTTCGAAATTTAAATTTAAACTTATTCAAATTTATCAATTATTTTTCAAAACAGTAACACACTTTAATTTTAATTAAAGAAGATATTGTTACCTGCATATGAGTTGTGTAAAAGATATATTAAAATTGAGATCTACATATATATGAGATTTTCTAAATCTCTATAAGTTGTGTAAAGATATGAGTATCAAAATTGAGATCTACATATATATGAGATATTCTAAATCTCTTTAAAAAAACGTTTGGTTTTAAATTGAATACTCTTCTCACAATTTTTCCAAAAAAATTGATTACAAAAAACGTGCTAATTAGTCATTAATAAACATTATGAAATTGATATACATTTTTTTTTTTCTAACAATTATGCAATTGATGAGAAATCAAATTTTCAAATCTTCATGTGTCATCGAAAATCGTCGTCAACCTACACAGCAATTAGAATATTATATTTACACACTATAAAAATTGATAATAATTACATTTACACGGTAAATAAACTTTAGGTAACATGCAATATAATGTTTGTTTCAAAAAATCATTACAGAACATGCAATTTAAACATCCAATAAATCCAACACATTCAAATATCATACATCCATCCATAAATAAGTGTAAACTGCTTATGTGCATGATCTAATAGATGTAATTTGTATTCCAATTATTAAATATACTAGTTTTTGTCCCGTGCATTTGCACGGAAAACTATATGATACATGAAAAAATAATAAAAATTATAAACAATAGTAAAAATCGGAAAACTATATGATACATGAAAAAATAATAAAAATTATAAACAATAGTAAAAATCATAACAAATTCATTGAAAAAAATTATGAAAAAAAATATAAATATTCTTAAACACTTCTTTATAAAACAACGTCGTGGTTTTTCTATCGTCAAAATCTCCCTCAACTCAAATCAAAATCTTCAAACTCCACTGACTCGTAACTCTAAAAAGCGCCACGTATAATTGCTCATGACTAAATGCAGAGCTCTTCAGTAGTAAGCCGACGTGCGATAGAGACTTTCTTTGACTCTTATTGATCATGTCATAGCATAGGAAACACTTCTTTATATTGTTTGTCCTTGATTCTTATTGATTGATAGAGATTGTCCTTGCTTCTTAATAAAAAAAATATCATCTAAATATAAATGAGTAAATATAATATTAATTTTTTATATATACAAAAAATTTAAAGTAATTGATAATGAGTATAGAATTACCCTTGCGGATTCAAGTTATTTCAACGATGTTCTTTTTATATATCTAAGATTTAATTATTTTTTTCTGATTTATATGAATATAAGCACATTTGACTAATTTTTATAAAATTTATTGAAAAAAGTTACTATTTTTTTGAAAAACTGATAAGATATTAAGATAATACTGTACTTAACATAAATGTGAGATTAATTAAAATAAATCTTTTTAATTTAGTCATTAACTAATTAAATTTAACTATAAAAAACCTTCTTAAATGTGAGATTAATGAGTAATTAATTAAAAAAATGTAACTTCTTTTGGAGGGAAAGTGAAAATATTTTTATTAAATGTTTTATTAAATGGGATTAGCTAGCAATTATATATATATAGATTATTACCAAGTAATCAGGCTTATAAAAAATATGTTCAAAATATTTCTTTTTATTTAATAATCTATGTAGAATCAAATTATAAATATACTAATTAGAAAATGTTATTATGGGTTATAAAAATCAATTGGATTCCTATTGGACGTATTTTTTTTTTATAAAATATGCTATATATTTGCTTAAATCGCGTGAGCAATTAAATCGCAAATCTGTTATCAACTATAGTCAAAGCTAATCTGTTCAATATTATCACAGCCAAAAAAATTTTATTTTTTGACATATCTAAATTAATCAACAATATACGATTGACTAATATATACATTTATCCATATAAACTAAGATTCTTAAGAGATACACTAAAATCTAAATCCGAATTTTTAACATATATCTAACAATATCGGATAAGTACAACAGTATATATAAACCTAATATCAGTTATTTATTCTTATATACAAACCACGCCACATAAGAAGTCAATAATTCTGAAGAGCTTTTCCAATTAAAAAATACTTGGGTTTATAATTTTTTAGCTTGCCTATATTAATTTCAGGTCAATAAATTGGGTTAGATACTTGGGTTTATAAATTTTGGCCTATATAAATTTGATGAGCTTTTTCAATTCAAAAATATTATAAATTAAAGAGTTGTAATTATATAATTATTTAATTTATATTAGTAATTATATCACATTGTTGAGTTATTATTTAATATTATTTAACATCAAATTATCATTAATAAGAACTTATATGTGTATGCAGATTATCTAATTTCTAGAACATGGACCATTCTATGGAACTGTGCAAAGAGACACGATTAAATATGATCAAACTCTCCACTCATGTGTTCGAATGCAAGATATTAACAGGAGATCAAGCTGACAAGAAGGTGTTGATTCTTAGAATGAATATAACTCCTTCCATATAAGGGTTGCATTTAAGTTCCAGCGGGGACCATAAGCAATAGTCACGGTTGCACGTTGGCATGTTTTTAAAGAAACATGTTTTTAATCATAACCAATTATATGTTGGTATTTTCGTGTAACTAATAGAAAGGGCTGAAACTATTAGTTTATTAGAACGACGTATACAAAGAAATTTTTAATAATATATGATTTTTTTGTGATGATCATTTTATGATTGGACAATTTCTCTACGTATTATAACATTTTTCTTTATTAATACACTTATAATATTTCTCAAATAAATACAGCCCGTGCATCGCATGGTTACACGAAAAATAAAAGTCTAGAAAAATGTTTTAACAATTTTAGTGCTTGCCAAGTTGTACAAGTAATCTTTTAGGTTATACTAATTTTAGACGATTAATCAGTTATACTAATTTTTGAATCTAAATTCATACTTATAAGTTACAGCCATTTGATTTTTATATCAAGCAGCAAAAAATGAACTTGAATAATAGTAAGTACTACGATTATTGAATTTATTTACCGTTAGATCAGTATATGAACATATATACCCGTACGAGTATGTGATAATTCAATGATAAAAAATATGTTAATTGTACTACAGTCATTGATAGATTGAAAGGCTCCCTCAAACAATATGGGTGTATTTATTTATTATTTTTATTTTTTTATTTTTTTTTTACTAATACTCTTGTGAAACCTGATTTTAACGAATAAAAAAATATTAAAATTCGAGTATGATGTTTGAATAATCAAAATATAAATTATACGAATACTTCAATAAAAGTCATAAACTATTAACAAAACATGAAATAAATGTGAGAATAAAATATGAAGTAATGTAAATGTAAAGAAGCCAAAATAAGGCTCAAACGTTGTATGAAGCCCACTTGCAACCGTAATCACACACGTCGACGGTCAATGGACTATGATAGTCACTGCTGATAGTGATAATTTGGTCCTAATGAACTCAATTCTCACCTGTTTGTT